AAGCAAATTGACGATTTCTAACTGATGTCCAAAATCTCATCTCTAGTTGACAAACCACTATGGACAAAGGAAACCTAAGATTTTATTATTATTATTTTCACAGTGTCTGTCCTGACTGCACAAGATATTTGGGATCTCAATTGTCATAAGTATCTAATCCTTTTAAGGAGGAGGTAACGGATGGCAGTCTAACACACTAACACCAAGGAGTTAAAAGCGATTTGTTTAAGTTGGTTCCACTACTTGAAATGAATAGCACATCATTTCTAATTTCACACAGTCAGGATGGCCAAGGAATTTGTCTTCATTGACAAAAGTGGAATTCATGCTGTTTAAGGAATGTACTGTGCTTCTCTAATCCCAGGCCTAAATCAGAGGCAGCAAGTGAAAGATATTTTCTTCTTTCAGACAAGAAGCCATTGTATTCATGTAATTACAATATGCTTTAGTGATAACTCCGTCTAGCAAAATTTTGTGCATTTTCTAAGCACCTAGTACTGCCTGAAGAGTTGAGTTATTGTTGCTAACATACATCTTGAAGTGAAGAAATTATTGCCATCATATGAAGGCATTCAGACTGAAAGATTGTCTCAGAAAGAGATTTATTTTAATGTAAAATCCAGGTCCTACATTCCATTCATGCCTCATGCTTACTGAAGCTAATGGGATATATAAGAAACAACACTTGGAAAACAGGCCTAAATAAGTTTTTCCTGATGGCAAATTGTAGCATAATAAGGCCCATATATATAGAAACATGTTCATCATCCATACACTTACTCAGTTTTTAACTCAAGCACTACATTCAGTTTAACTACTCATAAGCAATCATTCCTGTAGTGTATAATATAGCTGAGCACCACAAATGGTGCTCAGTAATCGTGCAATATTCCCTCTATTTCACTTGCTGCACAGGATGAAGTCTGAGGAATTCTATTCAGAAGGATACAAAAACAACAGTTTAACCTCAATGTCATAATTGTTTCCTTTCACTGGCTTCCTTAGAGGCATATCTGCAAATGACACTGAGGAGTACAACTTGTCTGTACTAATGAAAAAGGTACCTTTGAACGTCAAGAAACATCATCATGCCCTTGAAAATAATACAGGCCATTGCAGTAAACTGTTTGTTGGCCTTTGCAGCCTGATATTTGTAAGGCTAAGGAAAAATTTCTAGTCATTCATAAAACAATAACAATGTCTATTATACAGCCTTCAAGATAGGGTCTTTGATTTAAAGTTATTTCAAATTTGAGCAGATCACTGGACAGATGAACTTCAGAGGTCCCTTGCAACCTTGATTATTCTATGATTCTTTTCTGTTTTTCTCTTTCTAGGCAAAGTAAAATTATTCAAATTCAAAAGTAAAATGGTTTTTAAGCTGACAAACAAAACAATGAAAATAAAGATATAACTTAAAACAATCTTAAAAACACGCTTGTCTCTTAAATACCTGACATCCAGACAGGTTTTTCCTCCTATTTGTTTCTGTAATTAGTGATGTGCTTTGTTTCTACAGTATTAAGGGGCAATGCAAAACTTTACTACAGAACCATCTTGCTTTTAGACAGAACTTCAGAAAAACTTCCCAGATTTAAGTAGAATGATTACTGAAGTTAGGCATCCAACAAAAAATTAAGAGCACCTATAACTATAGAAAATTAATATTAATATAGAAAATTAATATTAATTAATATTAATATAGAAAATTAATATATTCACATAAAGTATATTCGTATAACAGCCTCTGTCTCAGAAGTTGTTGAAATATTCATTACAGATAAAAGACATTCTATATCAACATCTCATACTGGTTTAAAAGTTCTCATTTTGAAATACCCTCAGAATCTTTAGAAAATAATTATTTTATCAACACTAACACACAACTATCTCTATTTAGGCCTAAGGATACTATTTGCAGAAAGTAAAATTTCAAAGCAAAATCTGAGAAATCAGAGATTATTGCAACCAGTTGAAGCTGTATTTAATTTACAAATGTCCAACACTTTCAAGCTTCAGACTAGCACTTTTCATATTCACGGGAATTCTTAACATCATCAATATACTTACTCCACACAGTTTCAAGATAATTTTGCAATAGTCATTTGTTTTGAAGTCACATATCCTATTTGGGACTATAGAATGGCTACATTGCTGCATTGAAAAAACTCAGTGTTGTTTTAATTGTAAACTACAAAACGACGAGAATGTTAGAACAATCAACAGGGACTCTTGTTTTCATCTACTACACAGAAGGTAGAGAGGTCAGTTCCTCATGAAGAAACATTTGAACTTTGATTGCTTAGTTGCAGTGAAAATAAGCTAGACATTAGGCCACAGAATAGACTGAGGTAAATTTTCTCTCAGTATTTCCCATTATAGCTGCTGCTCTCTCATACCGCCTCCAAATCCCTAAACACTATTTGATCCAGGAGAAAAAAGTGTGGCTACAGTTCCAAACTCAGTCAATGCCAATAATTACTGCCTTTCATAAAGAGAAGACACGGCCAATCTGTTTCTCCTCCTGCGTTCCTACAAGCACTTTGAAAAACTTGCTCTGTAGTAAATTGTTACTGGTAAATCTACAGTCAATACCCTGCCCCTGCACTGCATAACCTGCAAGCTCTTCTAAGAGCCTACAGAAGCTGCTAGCTTCTTAGATTAGGTAATTGGCTGTATTTCATCTCCACACGAGGCTATGGCTCCTGCTGTGTTACTGCAGATACTGTCATTCAGAACAGATATATTTCCAAAAAGAGAACATGTAGGGGGAGGAGACAGGAGAGACAGGAAGGTGCCATATGCTTTCCTTCCTCACATACCTATGCTATCTTATTCTTTATGTAACAAAAATGAAGACAGTTTCCATTCTATGATTTATCAGTTTGTATATCCTAACTCACATGACTGACCTTGCTCCTACCACATAACCAAAAAGGATTTCTACATATTCTCTTTCTGCAACTGGATAAACAAAGATTCATACAAGATTGTAGTAAGTTGTGAACTCAGGAACTCAACTAGCTTATCTCTTGCTCAGGGCAATAGTAATTAAATCCATGTAATTTCTAACAGATACATGCCACACCTGTCTTTGAAAACCAGAGCAGTAATTTCACCACTTCCTAGCAATTCCTACACTACATAGTTTTCTGTTATGCAAAACAGGCTGGGATTCAACTCGAAATTTAGACATCAGGACTTAGGTATCTACAATGCAATGTCTGCTTTTAAGATTAGCATATAAGTTCTTTTTAAAACTACCAGCCAGACAGTTAAAGATATCTCCTTTGAAGCAAAATGAATACTTCTCTAGATTGTGCTGATCATAATGACCGCATGTCCACTGACTGTAACAGTGACTTGGACAACTACTCTATAAGTAAGGTGAATTTCACTAAGGCTGCTGGCATTTTGATTGCATTTGCATGATCTTTCTTTGGGAAACATGTTGGAATGAAAAGGGCTAAGGCTGCATTGACTGTTCCACTGGGCTGACTTCTACCTCTAGACCATGAGTTGTACAACCTTGCCTTACACCTTTGGAATACATCATATTCTCCTCACTTGTAAACCTTCCCTCTAAAATTTTGGAGTTGAAACTGTTCAGAACTGAGCTTCAGCTCACAGAGAGATGGTAGATGTCTCTAAACCTTCTACAAATGAGTTGTCTAATCTGAGCTCATCATCAAGGTTCATGATTCATCTACTCTGTCAGATGAACTGCTTCTGAAACCACCTGCCTTTTTTTTTTATTATTATAGAGAGAAGTTTGGACAGCTAGTTTAGACTAAATACCTCATGTAGTGAGTTCAATGAGATCAATCTCAAGCTCAGAATACGTATATCTCACAACAGATACCTGAGAGCATATTATTAGGAAAACTTATTATTACATACTACTTACTATTATGATCACAAATGCCCCAGCTTTCACTTAAATTTTGAACTTCCGTGAAGTTAAGCAAAAATGAAGGGTAATGGGGAAGGCTAGAAAAAGAAAACTGGCATAGCCAAGATGGTGGATAAATATTCAGAATGTGTGTGTGGTAGGGCTGAACAAAAGCTTGCAGATATTTTGGAGGAATAAGAATTTGAGTCAAAACAGATTTTTTTATGGCAACGCTAACAGTGTTACCATCCTTTCAAACAATAGCATATGAAGCTGCATTGCAAAGTTGAAAAACGTGTAACAACCTATTTGCTTCTAGAGGTCAAGAAAGAAAAATCCCTTTTTGACTTCTAAGCCTTGCTAGGCATTTAAAATTTATAGTATTTTCCTTTGGAAATACTTCCTGGAAAATTAAAATATACAATCATTGTTGCCACAAGACTTTCTGCAAAACAGAAGTCTAGCACAGAACTAGCTTAAAGATTTTTCTAATGACTGTAACAAAACTATTCATTCAGATCTGTCATCAGGTTGTCTCATAATGTTTTACAGTTTGATATAAATCCCATGTTGGCCATAACACTAGTTAGTATAACTCTAAACATTGGTGTACAGGCTACAGTTTAGATTTGTGACACCATTCCATAATTTCAGGAGGAATCAGGAGGAACATTACACATGGCTTGAGACCTTCTGATCCATGCATGTGAAACAACATTCATATCCACAAAAGCTCTACAGAACATAAGGCCAAGCTTTTGTTTCCTATTCAAAACTTTACAAAAGCAGTATCTACTGAATTAAATCATCTCAACTCTAGAAAGATTCAGTGTCTGAAGATGGATGACTATAGCTTTGGGACAACTGATTCATGTTACCTACTTCTGTCATATATTCATACACACATAATACACAAAACACGGCAATGCTTCACCCAGACAGGAAGGTGAATGGCTGGAAAGATAGAAGATAGATGCAAGATTTGACTTTGGTAGGAATGACAGGATGAGTTGATTATATCCTAGCAATGTCTTCCAACTCTGATTCAGCCTGCGATAGTTCATCTTTAGGAAAAAAAAAAAAAAGGTAGTGAAAAAATGGCACAGACCTGTTTTCTTCCAGTACACTTTGACCTGAAGTTGATTGTCCTGATAGAAGGGAGCTCCAACTTTAAGAAAACGAGTGGGTTTTCTTCTTTGAAAGATTGGGATAGGATCTGCCAGTCCTTTCTGGGGTTTCACAGCAGAAGAGGTCTGTTCTTCTGCAAGACACAAAACAATAGGATGTTTGCGCTAGTGTTGTTGGCAGCCAGAAAATATGCCTTCGATTAAAATAACTTTATTTCAACTTCTTACCTGAAAGAAATCGTCATAAAGAACAAATAGATATAACAGGTGAATCATTTGTTTGAAATTTGGTCAAATAAAGATATTTTGGACAGAGAAAAAAAGACAAATGGATTTTCATATGGAAAATGTGTTGTAAATGTGTTGTAAAGACAGCATATTTACAACCTCTGGGATTATGCATATTTATAACCAAGAAGTATTAGCACTTTTTTTTTTTTTTTTAAGTATGGCATCTAGCAGTAGTTATGTATAATCATTCACGCTCTTGTTGTTCACAGTGTTTGAATATACACTATAATACAAAAACCAACAGACAGAATTGAGTGTAACGCACAGAGTGCAACATGTGGTTATTATATCAGATTAAATACATATACCTTTGCTATGTTATATAAGAACATCATGGTCAGATTAAAGATCTTCCTAGACTACTTCCTGCTTTCCAGCAGTGAACACTGAATATATAGGAAAACATTACCCTTGACATTTAACCTGATACACTTTTGCCTCTTTCAAATGAAAGAAAAACTACTAATTGTATACAAATTCTTTCTCAGGGTAACCATTATGTTGGTTATTCAAAAGGAATCATGGAGGAAATCATCAAAAGCAATACAAACTTGAATCTAGTAGATATATCTCATTGGAAAGTTTTTCAATTTTTGCCAGTATATGATATGTTTTTCTCTGCCTGTTTCACTCCTGGAACAACTAGACACTGATTTGGAACATTTCTATATACTAATCTAGAGAGTTTTGGTGAAGTCAAGCAGACCAGCAATGTGCATATGATGAGGCAACTTATTTCTGAGGGTGGGAAAGAATAATTCATGAAGGCCAGAACAAAAGCTCACACAAGTCTCCAGGGCTAAATTACTTCAATGGGGTGTGGACTGATCTCCATTCTGACAATTTCAATATCTATCTTTAAAAAAGCTTCATTTCCCAGAGAGCTGAGAAATTGGTTGAAGTGGGACTTCAGTCAAATTGGAATGGTGCTTCCTGAACTACTTCTCAAAGGCAGTCTGACCAGCAAAGTTCCCAAATAGAACAGGAATATATTCCATCATATAGAAAGTCTTTAATATCGTATTAAAATACTATAATAACCTGATCTAATGTCAAAATTCAAAGCCTGACAAACATCATTAACTACTCCTGCTCCCAAAAGGGGGAGGTTGATAAGGCAATACTCATGTTGCTATAAGAGAAAGACATTCAACAACTTGCCCAAAGTCATTTTGATTAGGCCTATCTACATACTGGCACTTGGGGTTCCATCCCAGACACGGACTCAGGTGAAATCCAGACCCCAATTTTCTCCTGTGAAATGGTTTCTATGTAAAATAAACTCAGCCACATACTTTGTCTAAGAGTTGTGATTTAGTCTGGAGAAATGCCAGGTTAGATGGCTGGACTGAACACTAGACATTTTAGCACTGAAATCAAGACATCTGATTCTGATCATAAGAGGCAAGAAAATCAGGAGATTACATTTAGCCTATTCGTCTAGCAAAATGTCTAGCAAAATGTTTGACAAAAAATATTAGGAAAACACTTTGTAAAATTAGGATATCTCTTAAAAATACCAATTATAAACTTCTAGCTGAACTTAGCGACTGAGTGTATTAGAATTAATCACATAGTTCCAAATGAAGTTTAGCTTTGTTTTTATTATAACCCCTATATAACTTGAATAGAAGAAAGGAAAATTAAATATGTTAACTCAGAGAAACTTTTAATATCATACACAGTCTTAAAAACAAGATCACTTTTCTGGGGCATGATGGATGAAAAATACAGGCACAGTCTAAATGAGTCAATATGAAAAGAGCATAACTCTTACGCTCACTTTCATTGTGTTTTCCTGTGGATTAACCCCAATTTTTGCCTTATGTCCACATAATGGATATTCAAGCTCATATTCTGGCAGGCACTTCTGGCAAAGACAATGCAATGAAGAGATGAAAGCTTTGCCCTTTGCTGTCTTTTAAGACGGCCCAAAAATGTAGTAAAAATGTGCTTGACATTGAAAAGAGAAGGATCTTTAGGTCTGTTTATCTTCTTGATATACTGAAATAGTAAGTGACTGTAGATATGAAGATCTGTCACAGCTAACAACTGATTTAAAATAATTTATGTATATCCAAACTGACTATGTGTTCAGAAGGGCCCTGCAAAAAGATACTGCTTGCTTTGGCAGGACAGGTATACCTGGCATGACAGTTATGTCATGCAAATGGTTCCAGCAAAATTTAAAACCGGATTGGACTATAGAAAGGAAAAGTGAATGAGAAAGGGGAAAATGAAAGAAAGGTAGGAAAGAATATTTAAAATGACATGGTTTAATAACTCATCTGAAATTATCTGCACTGGCTAATCAGAGAAACACCAGCAGTTGCATAGTAACTCAGCACTGCAATTTGCCTACTACAATACTTATACAAATAGCATTTAACTAAGAACTATGGTTCACATTCGGATTCAGATACACTTTAAAATATACTACTTGACATGACAGGTTTTAAAGATCTTACAAAGAATTATCTTGACATTTAAAGATTTCAAGTTTTTCACTCAAAATTGGGTCCATGAAAAAATATGTTTAAAATTCATTCATTCATTCAAGAAAATTCATTTCTTGTAAGGCATAGAACATTATATATTGTTTAACAGCAGAGTGAATGTGTCATGTTAGCTCCTAGGAGGTATGCTTCTGTGTGGTCTGGGATCTAAATTAGTGGGCTACTCAGAATAGTCAGGATTCTAAAAAGCATTAAAGCTAAAACTGCCTAGTTAAGACATAGAAGAATGGATTTATTCCAGCCCCTGAGGTATGTAATGGGTATTTAGACCTGTATTATATTTTTAAAACACTCCAGTCTTACAAATGCTCCTGCTCTCAGGAGAGAGAGGAAAATACAACTTATCTAAAATAAATAAATTGCATTTATTTGCAATTATAATGCAATTTATTTACATTAGTTAAGTAGCTAAGACAAAGAACTAGGCAAAAACAATCACTTATTTTTAGATGAAGAAATTTAACACGAAATAGTTACTGAACTTGACTAAGAAAAGATCACTATGTTAGCAAATAGTCAACTCTAAGACTTTTTTAAATCTAAAAAAAATCATTATATAAAACGTTCAAATTGTTGATAAAGAAAATATAAAGCACTTGTATGTTTGAATGCAGTTACTCACTATTATTCCTGGTGTCCTGAGTTGTGCTAAAATGGAGAGAAACTTTAGCACTTTTTAGGCGTATCTGACCCCAACGTGTTACTGCCTGCAGTTCCACATTGTAGTTGCTGTTGGGCTGGAGTCCCTCCAGGACCACATAATTTTGGGGCTATAATAGAGGGGAATATATATAAAAACCAGTTATAATATTACCAAAACACAAGCTCTTATTAAAGCAGGCCTATTATCTTAGATGCATAACTCTTCTGAAATTAAAAAAAAAAAAGCATAAATTTCAACAGAGTACAATTTATGTTTTAAAATACTCTATTTTTCTGAACTCTACTTTTCTTTTTCATTTTTTCAAAGTACTAACCTTACTGACATTTACAGAACTTTGGCAGTTTCTTGGTGAATACAGATATCTACAGTTTAGGCCAAGACTAAATTTATTTTTAAATAGAATAAGTTCTTTTTTTTTTTCTTATGCCATTTTTTTTAGCCAAAGAAAATTAAATTCTTTATCCCCATACTGAACAGATTGTATTACCAAAGTAACTGGAAACTTTGTTTAAAGGCAGATCATCTGAAGACAGCTAGAATATAGCAATCAGCACATTGGTCACAGCACATTGTTAGTTTCAACTGTTGAAAACCAAAATGAAAGAACAAGCAACTAAGCAAACAAAAATCTCTCTATAGAATAATTATAATAATAATAAAGGTTTCCATTGTCATTGAATGGAATAGCACGAGTAGGATTATCATTCTCCAGCTCGTAATCCATAAGGCAAGTCTCAAGTATTGCAAAGAAAAGACAAGATCTTTCAGTATTCTTACATTTCTTGTTTTTATTAAGTATCCATAAAAATACAACTCTAGTCTATACTTCAGACAGAAGTTTTTACTCTGTGTTTTTATAATAATTCTCACTTAGCTGAAATTTGACAGTTGATCCAGAGTAAAAAAGAAAACTATGTACTGCCATATTTAACAGTTCAAGGACTGTCAAAAGCTTTTCATATCAACTACCTTTACTTGCTTTATTTAAAATTGATTACAAGTCTTGATAACAAGCATTTGTTTCTAAATATTGTAGCCAAAATATTAGCATGTCTATCTGTGTTGATTTCATACGGAAATCATTATAGAATGATTTAGACCAGATTCCTTCTACAGGTAAAAACTCGATTAAAAAAAAAATCAATGATCATTCCATCTTTTTCCATCTTTGTACTTACTAAAGTTTTCAGTTTTTAGATCAAAGAGTTACTATATTATTCAAACTATCAGAAGTAGCACTGGGAGCATACTATGGGAGTAGCCTGACTCATTGGTGGTGCTGTACATTTTCATGAAATGGTGCAGAAGAAAAAGTACAGTGTGATAGAAGAGATATTTTAAGTGCCTGCCTTTTCTCTAAAATATGTACTTGAATCTTCTGGATTTCCCATATTTAAGGCCAGACTTCATACCAAAGGCTTAGCTATTGCATAATTTGTTTTAACACATTTGTATGTGGTATACACCCTGCACACAGTACCAGTACAACACTAAGAACGCATCTCAGTTTTACAGTTCTCTATATTTTGTGATTTAAGAGTCAGCCTATGGAAAGAAAACTTCTCTGTATTTTCAGACTTTAGCCTCCACTATGATGATACCCAGCCAACAGTAGCTTTCCTGGAAAACACAAACTTTTCTACCTAACACAATGCAATTCTACTCCTATCTTACCAAAGTAATTCAAAATAATACAAACAGAATTAACTTTCTTTTCTATATATATTTCCACATACATTTACCAACTATATTTTAAATAAGTATTTAAATATATTAATTATTAAATAGTATTAAACATATTTCAGTAAGTATTTAGCTAAAGTAAAAGTAACTGACAAGGACTTGCTGCTAGGGAAATGTTTCAGATCTTTCTAGACTAGATTTTTTAAGTGTTTTAACTTCTTGGACCTATGTAAACTGTGATTCTTTAATTATTACTCTATACTATTTAGTAGTGCTTAAGATAAGTCCGTAGTATTAGGCACATTGCAAGAATAATGTGATCGATGACATGTGACTTTCTAAATAAAATAAGAACTGTATCTTTTAGAAGCATTACTAAAATAACCTTCAGTTTAGAGAACAAACAACATTTCACTTTCTTTCCTCTCTCCTGCAATGTTTTTGAGACTTGTCTGCATTTTAAGGGAGAGATCTTTTTCTCTCTCCAAGTTCAATCAAATACGAGATTGTGTATTTCTGATATTGATACATTTTGATGCAGTTTTGATACTGATACTTTTTTTATGCTTGAAAAAGAAATTAAGAATTCCAGAATCAATACATTGTCATATTTCTGTATCATTTGCTACTTGCTTTCTTACCCCATCAGTAATCTTCCTTCTCTTTTTTTTAGCTGGAATCACATATTTGCTATACGTCCAGCTCCAGAAGACTTTGTAATGGTGCACTGGGATATCAGGCTCTTCTGGAAGATCCCAGCTAATCATTACATTCACACTTCCATCACTGTTTGCAGTGATATTGGCAATTCTGATGTTAGATGGGGCTGGTGGAGCAGATGGATCTAGAATTTAAAACGAACCAACGAAAAGATGCTAATGTAAAGACCGCTTTCAGTAAAGTGAAGATCATCTTCATCTTATGTATTTACCAGTCATATACCAGTTGGATTAAACAAACTCAACACACTTTAGAAAATTTATTCAAAAAAAAACCCATAAGTAACATGGCTTTTTGTATATTCTAGAAATCCAAGCTCTTCTAAAATAAAAATTATGTGTTTATGAGTGTGATTATTCTGCAAATATTGTTGGTAACTGCGTACGTATTACAAAGTTTTACCAGAATGTACCAGACTATTGGTTCTACTTGGGGCGTTCACGACTTTGCATGAACGACTATGTGAGTAAAAAGCTCAAGCTCCATATGTGGGCCTGTATCTCTGTCCTGTATCAAACATTGAAAACTTCTAATTTTTTGTTCAGTGTTGCCAGAGATTCTCAGACAACAAAATTGTCTCCAGTTGTCTTGGTTCATACAGGAAAGCTCTTAGTTGCTCCAAATCTGAAGTCTACACTCCAAAGCTTTGCCATTTTAAGAGTCTTAAGAATACATTCAAATGTCTCTCTGTCTTTCCTCTGGTAAAAGCCTTTCAGGTTTAGTAATCTCTGAACAAAAAACGACTAATATCTTCTCCTCTTTACTTTTTCAGAAGCTATTCCAGATGACTCCACACACACTATTTGCTGTATAGAGTCTTACACATGGTAAGGAATACTTAGGACATGGTTTTAGCCTAAGCACTCCATTGAGTAGAATGACATCTGATGTTTCCAATACTAAGTTTTTGTCTTCCTTGTGGACCTAGCGTGTATGCTCTGAGTCATGTGAATCCAAGATAATTTTGCCACTGAGCTTTTGAATTTGCATCTGAATTTGCATCTAAGTAGCATCCTACTTGTCATCAGGATTGTTCATCTAATCATAATAATAGATGTTACTATCAAGAGTGAATATGGCTATATATTTATTTCACAATTATTGAAAAAAGTAGACATCAAAAAGCTTATGCTTTTTAAAAGCAAAAAGCTTTTTAAATGTCTGGGATAGCCAAACATTTGTGATAAAAATAAAATAAAACTTCAGAAGAAAAAAGTAAACAGTACAACTCAAAAAATGTTTAAAAGTTTATCAGGTAAATTAAATTCATACTAATGAAAGTAAGCTATGAGATTGTGGCTAATAAATAACAATGTGATTGAAAATAATTATTTTCAGACAGTTTTTTAGCTAAATGAGCCACCACTTATTGCCAGAAATAAAACTGGAGGTGCCCTAATGGGGCACAAGGTATCCATTTACTGCATGGTTCACCCGAATCTTTTTATAATTGTAAACGAGCTGTTAAATGAACTTTCCAGGCATACAAAGTTCATCAGATAATCCATATGACAAATGGTCTCATTGAAAAATTCCATCACTTAGGCCCTACAGACTGACACATTCACAATTAATAAAGACAGCATTTCCTTTTAGAGAACAGCAGATGTGAAATAACGGCTTATTTCTGTTACTTAACAGGAGTTTTAGTAAAATAACAATGGATGCTCCTGTTTCCTCACATATTCCAATTTAGTTAAATAGTAATAGACGCTCTCATTTCCTCACATGTCATTTAACCAAATTTTTGGCCATAAAAGTTACAAAGCATACTTGAGTTCATGAATTCTGGAAAGTCAACTTACTTTTTGTAGTAATGGGAATTCCTTACTTCTTTTTATTTACTTCTATTTTTTAATCATCTTCGTCTTGCAGTACAGCTTCTTTTTCTGTTTTTTTTCTTTTTTTCTGATGTTTGCTTGTTTGTTTGTTTGGGGAAAACACTATTCTTTATTTCCTTACTTGTAAAATACCTCAAAACTCCATCTTACACATATTAAAAGGTAAATACATTTACCTTTAATTGGAGAGGATAAATATGAGACATTTTTCTGTAATCCATTTTGTACTAATGACTTGGATATTTGTCTAATACAATGTATTATGTATTTCCATTACTTACTAAAATAACTGTAGACATTAAATGACATTCAAATGCAATAAATGCAATCATAATCATGATTCATAAATCAAAATCCTTATTAAGCATTAATCTTCACTGATTTAAAATGTTAGTTATCTTTTTATGTTACAGGACTACATCTTACAACTATAAAACATTCATACCCCAAGGAGAAACATGATCATATTACCTGTAGGTGAATTATTTAGATTATCTCCCAGATAGACTATACATCATGTATTATTTATACATAACATTTGGGTTAGAATTAAAATGTTTTGGAGAATCTGTCTACAGAAATGGCCAGATATACAAGCAATATGCAAAAATAATTCTAATGGTAAAATACATTTGTCTTCTTTCTGTACCTATAAAAAAATGTGAAGGTCTTTAAAAATTCTAAAAGGTAAATGAAACAGCTCTTCCAGGCAAAATCCTTTAAATGTCCTAAAATATTTTAAAATCCTGTTCACTAGCTTCTCATAAGTCTGAAAGCAAATGACCAAATACTGTTTTTCCCCAAAATCCCTTTTCAAGTGAGATATACCTTCTCTTTCTGCCCCGCATAAGTGCAGAATAATGTGCAGTTTTCCCTGCATTTGACCAAAATTGACCATTTATATAACTTATCAGCATCATGGGAATTTCTTTTGGCCCATTTTTTTTTCCCCAGTGACATAGCAGAAATAAAAACAAGAACTATATGCAAGCTGAAGCCAATGGATAATTTTTTCTCTATAGCTCCAAGATTTACCCTGCACTTTTTGTAATTGTACAGGTTACAGAAAGTTTCACTGTATTAGCAGCATTTCTTCTATGTTCACTAAAAGCAGACAGTCCAGGTAGCATACAGTGTGCTGAGCTACATTTAAAAGAAAAATGACCCATCTCTCTCCTTTTTCTCAGGAGAATGTAAAATTCACTGGGTAACTGTTAGTTAAGGAACGAAAGAATATCCACTTAGAAAAAATATACATGTGAAATAATACAGAAGCGGCAAAAATAGAACCATTTTTTCTAATTGTCCCTTTTCTTCTAAGTCTCTCTTTTGCAAGCTTGATAAATGTCATCCACAGAAGTACCTTTGAACAGGAGAAAGACTGGTGGGAGTAGTAGAAGGCAGAAAGACAGGAATTCTGCAGCTGACAGACATAAAAAGGGGAGACATTTGAAAGCAGCATATTTTCTAGAAGGGCTTAAAAAAGCTAGTAGGCTAAAACTGGAGAAGATAATGATCTAGAAGGAAGTAAGATGGCCAATTGTGAACAAAAATGATCTAGAAGGAAGATGGCCAAATGTGAACAAAAATTAATTTAACAATTTTGTGTATAATCATAAAATCAAACGATTGTGGGGAAACAGCAGTAAAATACTGCCTGAAATTTGGATGTATTATGTGAATAGGAGGCCACTTAACATTTTGCAACAGCTGAAGATCTAACTCCATACTATTTGAAATTGAAGTATTGCAATATTGATAATTAATTTATTTACTTTTATCTACATATTTCCATGATGTCCACTGCCACTACAACTGACAAAACTATCACTTTTGTGACCCAAGGAAACAGGAATATTCTTGCTTTCTTTAATTTGAAAGGATTTAATTTCACCAGCAAAAGAAAAGGATGAGAAGAAAGAGTAGTGAGGCAAACATACTATGATCTCTGAAAAGAGGTAGACAGATAGATATACATAAAAAGATATGACACCAAACTCATCCTTAAATACAAACACAGAATTTATGTAACTGTCAATAGCCTTCACAATATTTTCCTCTGTAGTGTGTTCCTGCCAGCTGGCAGATAATAGATGTTGTTTTATCTGATTTTTTTCAAGCCTTCATTATCACATAAATCGAATGAAAAAGTCAGGCTTCTACAAGGTGCTCTCTTATGATTATGCCTATGCAAACAGTAAAAGCGAAATAGAACTTATTTGCTGAAATACTTCAAGGCCTAAACTATCTGGTTATGAGCTTCTACATATATAAAATGTTTCATAACTCAGCTATAAAGCTAAATTGCCATTCTGCTGACTACGAAGCTAATGGCCATTCTGCTGTTACTCTTATCTCTGCGATACCTTTGACTGCCCACATGTGTAATTCAGATATATGAACATCTGCCAGTTTTTCAAATTTAAAGTTTGAAATTTTATACACATAAGTATATCTGAATGTTAAATCAAATTCTTTGGTTTAAAGAAGTTGAAGGTAGTTGAAGCTTTTCTTTTGCAATTTAGCAGAAAAGTTCAAGCAAAATAAAAGTCAGTATATATACTAGGAAATTGGCACAGATTTTCCTCAAATCTAACAAATAATCTAGTCTCAGCAGCCTCACAAGTAAAACACTTCTCACTGTTAGGAATGATAGCCTCATTAGGTCAAGACTGAGGCTGCAGTTCCAGCACAAGGAGCAAGTATTACATTTGTCTGCATTGTATCTGGCTTGAGTATACTCAAAAGACTTAAATTCTTGTCTTGATGGCTACCCAGCCATCATAAGCAAAACTCTGCCTCCATTCCACAAAAGGAGGATTCCTTATCACTAATAAAAGACAAATTAAAAAAAAAAATCACCACTATTTCAAAATGCACATTTTCCCATGCTCATATATTTAAAACAGATAGACATATTTTGCAAAATTCTTTCACTTACTAAGACCTGAAAATGCTTTGCAACCTTAACAAAACAGCATGGGCAAGCTACACACGAGAATCACATCACATACTTCTCAAATGCATCCGCATGGGCTTTAAATGCAGCAACTCTAATGAATAAAATAAATGATTTGAAATATATGTCATAGAAGGAAATAAGGATATTGTAATTCTCATCCTAAGCTGTAAAAGTGACAGCAAAACTCTAGCTTAAACCCCTTTAAAAAGCTTGTTTTTTTTTTTAATTTATTTAAAATGGATCACCCATTGCTATCTGTTAAACATTATGCAACTCTCAAAATCTGCTGAAGCTGCACTACAGAGAAGTAGTTTCCAACTA